CCAAACTAAGAAAACACCCACTGGTGAGCATGAGAACCAGAGCTGGGGGCAGGCCTGGTTAGACAGGCAGTGGCCCCCACCAGCATGAGTGTGGGCTGGATGTTGGGATTGGTTGGGTTGAACTAGGCCTCGATGGCCATTGATGTGTATGAGAACTGAATGGGATGTGGAACACACTGGATCAGTCTGCTGCACATACTGGTAAGCACAGGAACCAGGGCTGGATGTGGGCCTGGTAGGGGTTATTGGTGGTTGCTCCAGCTAGGCCGCTGGAGTACGTGAGGGCCGAGTTCATAGTGGGCAGGGTTGGGCTGGGTGGCAGCACCCACTGGTTTGTGTAGAGACAGGGCTAGAGACAGAATTGACCCAGCAATTGCCACTACCAGTGTGTGCGTAGGCTGATGTGTGTGATGGACTGAGCCGTACTCCATACTGACAAGCACACACAAAAGTCAGATCTGAGATCACAATGGTCAGGGTTTATTTGGTGATTCCCCCTAAAGGAAGCACTGGACTCAGAATTCCAATCATGTGGAGAATTGCAGGATCTGTGGTCTGTCCATGGAATGATTAAGAACTGGGTCTTTTCAAGTGGCGTAGATGGAGCAGTGGATGACATATCCAGATGCACATGGGGGATACGGAAGTTCATTGGGGTCTGCAGAGGACATTGGGTGCCAGTGCATAAGAAGAAAGAACAAATTGGACAATTACCCCAGCCAAGCACCAACAGCAAATATCTGGGTGAATGGAGACTAAGGTGGACTGTGTCAGCTAACAGACTTTGGAAGGAACAACGAGATCAGCAGCATTTCTTTTCTTTTTTTCTTTTTTAAGATTTGTTTATTTTTATTGGAAAGCCAGATATACAGAGAGGAGGAAAGACAGAGAGGAAGATCTCCCTCCCTCCCTTCCTTCCTTCCTTCTTTCCTTCCTCTTTTCTTTCTTCCTTCCTTCCTTCTTTCCTTCCTCTTTTCTTTCTTTCTTTCTTTCTTTCTTTCTTTCTTTCTTTCTTTCTTTCTTTCTTTCTTTCTTTCTCTTTCTTTTGTTCTTTCTCTCTTTCGTTCTTTTTCTCTTTCCTTATTTCTTTCTTATAATTTCAGCTCTTTATTTGACAGATAGAGAAACAGCCAGGGAGTGACTTTTTTCATCCACTACTTCACCCTCTAAACATCTACAACTGTCAAGATGGGCCAGGCTAACACTGAGGGGCAGATACTCAGTCTGGATCTCCCACATTGACCAGAATGACCCATGCATGTTTTTAAACCATCACCTGCTGCATCCCCAGGTGTACGTTAGAAGGCAGTTGGAATCAGAAGTGGAGCTAGGGTTCAAACCAGGCACTGATGGGATGTGACACTCCCAAGCAGCCACCAATGGCACACCAAATGTCTGCTCCAATTCTTTCATTTCCTATTTGCTTCTCTTATGCATTCTTATGAATGTTGAGGAAGCTGTGTTGTGTGTGTGCATTTAAGAGTGAATCTGCCGTGGCACTCCCAAGCAGCCGCCACCGGTGCACCAAATGTCTGCTCCAATTCTTTCATTTTCTATTTGCCTCTCCTGTGCATTCTCATAAATGTTGAGGAAGCTATGTTGTGTGGGTGCATTTAGGAGTGAATCTGCTCTGGTGGGTCTGCATAGGTGTTTCCTGCCACTTAAGTCCCTTGAGAGCTTCTTTGCTGATTGAACATGGAGAGAGTGTACAAAAATCTTCATAGAACTTCTCCACCATAAGAGCATCCTGTCCTACTTGTCCAAGATTCTGATTCCTGACTATTCAAGACAAAAGACAGTTCAGTCTCTCCACTAGCAAATGGCACGGGCTTAGGGAGCTGGAACTTGAGTGTTAGCATAACCTACCTGTGCTGTCCAAAGAACATGGAAAAGGGCCAAAAAATGTTCAAGCATGTAAAGAAAAATTTTATTTTGGCATATGTTGATATGCCAAAGTAGCAAGCACTCCTAGAAACTTCTCTGGCTGGGCCTGAGGGAGCCCCTGGCACTATGTTGGTCTCAAAAACTTTTCAAGGCTGATGGGAGCTATGAAGTAGGGCAAAGAGAGGGTCTCAGTCCTAGAGTGCCAGTTCATAATTATTGAGCAGGTGGAAAGAATGGCTGTTGTTCCTCCAGAAAGATTCTTACCAAAAACTAGTGAGTAATAAACCTTAAGTAATGCAAGAAAGGTGAAAGTTACGTTCTTTAGGGTAATTTAATGTGAAAATGTGATTCACAAATGAGCTCTCTTTACGGTAGACATGGCTGTGAAATCCTGTGCAAAACTCATTATGTTAACGAGCAGGAGGAATGTGTCCTCATCATCATGTTCCCACAGAGGTAGAGGGCGGCAACTTTAGACTTCCTGATGAGAGCTGGCATTGACCTGCACACTCATGCATATAAAGGTTAACTTGCTCTTTGATAACTTTTCTTTCTCTTGACTGACAATAAGGTTTGTAAAATGCTGAGGTTGGTATCAGGAAACAGGAAATGGCACATTCCCATAGGGGCTTCTCTTTCTCTGTGCTCCCTAACCTACATGGAATTCTGTGCTAGCTGCACTATAAAAAAGGTTAAATGAAATCCCCATAAAGAGAAAAATAAGCACCAGAAGTTAGCAGAGCTATTCATTGGACTCCGACTATAAGTATTTTTGAAGAGATAGTGGATCTGGGAAAAGAAAAAATGTGAAATAGATCAAATTTGGCCTCATTTGTCGGATAGGAGACCTAAACACTCAATTTATATGGAGTGGGTTTATACTGGCTAACAGGTATCAAGAGCCCTAGGACTTGTTGGTGGCTAGTTCTCCAAGCTCAGGAAAGCTGCCCAGTAAAGATAGAGTCTCGCCTCCCCTGTCCCACTCACTTTAATGTGGTAGCATCTGAGAAATGGCCTATGGAAGTCAGCTTTCAACATTATTGGAACAAAATACCCGAGGCATCCTACCTACACAAAGAAAAAGTTTATTTGAACTCATGGTCTTGGAGGCTCACCTTTCTAAGATCTGCTGGGCCCAAGTGGTTTGACTCCTGGTGCTGATGTCCTGGCTGGCAAAGTTCCAAGCAGCACATGGCAAGAGTCACAGAACATGCTTGCTGTGACTATATAGTCTTGATGAAAGTCTCCAGGATTTAATCATATGCAGCTGTTCTCTGATAACAGTCCAATTCAATCATCTCCCAAAGTCCACACATCGAAACACTGTAGTTGGACTACAATGTTATCCTCTTATATTATTAATGTAAGCCTTTGGGGACAAAAGCTTTACACAGGAGTCCATAAGTCAATACAAATGTAACATGAAGTAGCAATAAGGCCTCTATCATAGCATAAAATCAGGTCCATTGTGAAGAAACAGTGTCCAGTCTCAATAATCCATTGATTGGATGACAACAGCAGTTTAACAGATTCCATATACTCACAATTGCCTAATGTCATAAGAAAACCAGCCAAAGAGTCAATAGGCACAGTGCACTGGGAGTCCTGGGTCCCAGTACAGAAAGGGGCCAAAATGTTCCCTACAAGTTAGTTTTTAAACTATAAACAGCAGGCTTGCTGGTTGCGGACACTCATAATTCTTTCAGGTCAGTAGGCTCTGAAGACTTCAAAGGCTGTGGCTGAGTGATAATTTGTTGACTGGCTTCCAAGTCTTGATGTTGTCAAAAGGCCCCGTTCAAAGTTGGCAGCTTTGTGGGTCATTTTGACTAAAAGGCAGAAAGAACACCCAGGTTGGATGCGTGCTGTCTTTAGAATCTGAAGAGGTCTACCAGGCTTTAGGCTTCCTTTTTGTTAGTGGGTATTTCCTGGAGAAACAATTTGTTTGATTTTATCTGGAATTCTTATTTGGAAACCCATCTAGGTGGCCTTGTCATTTAGCCACAATAGACTATTGTTAGTCTTGGTACCTGAAAGACTTTTTCATTACCCAGTAAAGCTGTTGCATTGTAACAGGGTAATTTGTATCCTGAATTAAGGTGATGTGCAGTTCTATACTCAGTACATGTTACTGCTCTGGTTGCATCACTGTTGTGGTTGTGCAGCTCAGGTGGCAGGTAGGAGTGAGTGTGGCCCATTGCTATGGCACAAAGTGGCTCTGTTATTTTGTCTGCTCCCTGTCTTCCTCATGCACCTGCTTGCCACCCTTGTACACCTCTGCCATGTGATGCCAGTAACTATGCTATCAGACCTTTCCCAGATGTGGCTGCTGGTTCTTGGACGTGCAGGTTCCAGCATTGTGAGCCCAAAGCAAGCCTCTTCTTCTTTTTTTTTTTTTTTAATAAATTAGTCCGTGGTATTCTGTTGTAACAGCAGAAAACAGAGTAAGCCTCATCCTGCACGTTTGCTATCTAGGATTTGATCAAAGTGCTCAGGCACTTCTCTCAGTCCCTTTATCTGCATTGCTGCTTTCTCATTCATTCGTGGCATGTTTTTAGGGTTGCACTGAAGGCTGTTTCTATAGCAGATGGAGTGCAAAGGTGATTCTACCCTTCCCAGAGCTGATATAAAGAAGGGGGTAGAAATGCAAAGTGCCTTCATCTTGTATTTGGCAGATCTGGGAAAGATGCTCAATTCAGTTGGAATCACAGGCTAGGCTTCAGCCGTTTTGTCTTTCAGATAGAGATTCCAACTTCCAGGATTAGGGCGTTAGCCCTTCACTGATGTTGACATCTACATAGGCCCTCACAGACAGCTGCCAGCAAAGGCAGACAAGATTGCTTTTAACGATTCTCTTCGAAAGCAGGGCGGGGTGTGGGGGGCTTCAAACGAGTTAGAAATTTTAAGCAAGTCCCTGGGAAATAAGGCACGCGATGTGTTCAGCACAGCATCTAGTAAAGAGTTAGATGAGGCTGACTCCTATGTGACTTCTTCAGAAGGCCCTCGCCACCCTGATTCTTCGTGTTTCCCAAGAGGGAGGGCTGGGAGTCCTTGCCCGGGCTGGATGAAGGATTAGCTCAGTGGCCCCTCCTGCAGACTACCTGTGATTTGGTTAGGTGATGACCCAATATCCAATGGATGCGCACCAAAAGAGGAGGAGACAAAAGGGCGAGGGTGTGGGCAGACAGAAAACCTCTCTCACCTCTTCCCAGGTCTGCTTCCAGTGCCTTTGCTCCAACCAGTGGGGCACAAAGTCCCCAGGGCTGCTGCTTGCAGGAGTGAACAAGGCTGGGTAGAGGATGCTGCTTCTGGGGTGCTTCCTTCTCTCTGGGACCCTGTTCTCAGACGCCGCCAAAATCCTGACCGTGTCCACACTGGGTGAGTGAGTGATGCAAAAATCGACGCTGGGAGATCCGGGGTTCGCGCGCTGTCAGGGCTCAAATAATCAACGCGGGACCAGGGATCACCCAGGAGGCTGGTGTCCAGGGTGGTAGATGGAGGAGGAGCTGGCCCAGATGTGGGACAAGGAGGATCTGCTTCCGCTGAAGTGGAGAAGCTAGTTTCGGAACAAACAGAGCTCTCTCCTTTGCCCTCTCTCTGTTCAGAACACACCCCTGGAACACGAACCAGACCCTGGCTGCCTTCCCGGAGGGCGCAGGCAGGATGTGCCCCAGCTCCTTCCAGGGAGGGAGCTGTGCGCAGTAGCCTGGGGTACAACCCGTGGGGGCTGTAATGCAGGATTCCTAAAGGGCACCAGAATTAGGATGGAGTGCGACAGGTCTTAGCACATAGTGTGCCTCCATTCCTAGCAAACCCTGAGAACCAGTGGGGCTGAAATCCCTGCTCTTAACCTGGCGGCTGGAAGTCTTTGAAGCATGTGGTGCTTCACTTTTATCTTTTTTACTTTGGGCCCAAAGTGAACAGAAATTAAGGAGGAAAATATGGCAGGAGAAAGGGGTCTTTCTAGGATGAGCATCTGTTCAAACTCATTGATCGGATCACGTGTAGGGAGTTTAGAGCTGGAAGGAAACATAGATTATTTCATCTAGTCCTCACTTGGATTTTTGTAAGAGGAAATGGGGAGGATCAAAGAATACAGCTTCTCTTTTCAAGAGCACAGCAACCTGATGGTGATGCACCCATTTGTTCAGGATTGCTCATCTCTGGACAGCTTATCCCAGGACTATCCGCACACCTTCCACGCTTCCACCCTTCTTAGTGAGAATTTTTTTAAATTATTTTTTAAATCAGAAGTTTAAATTAGAATATTTTTAATTAGTCTCGCTCTCTTTCCCCCTCTTTCTCCTCTCTGTGAATCTACATTTCAAATAAAAACAAATATTTTTTTAAAAAAGAAACTATGTAATTTCACTTGAAACCTATATACATTTTTGCTTCTGAATATTAGTAGCTATAAGTGAGAGAGTTTCCATGCTTGCTGAGCTGGTGTGGTTTCTGACTTTCTGGAATCCTGTTCCAGAATGCACCTGACTCACCCAGACCCATAGTGAATGGCTGCCTCTGGGGCATCCTGCATCAGTAAGAATGCAGAGGGCTTGGACTTAGCGAGCTCTTGTTGCTTTCAGCTGTGCATGTCTGGGTGGTGTAAATATTGAGTCCTTCCCAGGGCTGTGTACTGCTTCTCTAGCTCTCCTCCCATGCATCCCCAAACACTGGGCATTGCCTTGCACTTTTCCATCGTTTTCTTTGCTGCCAAGTCCCTCCGGTTCAAGCAGATGCTTGGCGGGGGAACACGGTGTGAGAGGAAGCATTGTTGCGCTGGCACTCACACGTCACCTGTAGACTGGGTTTCTCCTTCCTTAGCATCTCCATGCTGTCCTAGGAGCAGCTGTTTCGGCTGGGATGGAGTACCTCACCTCAGGAACCCCACGTAGTCCCAACTTGCTCTCACAGCTGTTTCTTGGATTCACTTTCTAGTTTCCACATTCCCATTTCCTACAGTAGCATCAATTTCAGATGAGAAAGAGTTCAGAAATCGCTTTCATTAGTTGATCATTAGGAATCCTTCAGAAGCACAGGTCTGACATTGCACCTAATCTCCCTCCGCTATGTGGTTCCTTCTTTAGCTTGTGGCTGTTTCCCTAAGGCCTAGAGAAAATACAGCATGTTCCTTAGCATGGAGACCCTCTCAGGGGTAAGCACAGGGAAACTCATCTCCCTGACATGGAGACTGGGAGCCTCTAGTGGGAAGCTCTGAGAAAGGCCTGCCATAGATGAAGAGTTTGGACACTTGGGCTTTGCTATCTGGGGGTTACTCAGAGGGAGACGGAGATACAGACAAAACTTCTCTTCTTCCTTTCCTCTCCACCAGCTCTAACTTCCTGCTCCCCAAACCCTTTTTCCTGAATGCATCATGCAACCAATCAAACCTTCTACTGTCATCTTAATGAACCTGACGTTGCACTTGGCTCCTAGGTGGAAGCCATTACCTCTTGGTGGCCCGGGTGTCCCAGATTCTCCAAGATCACGGCCATAATGTCACCATGCTTCATCAGGGAGGAAACTCTTTGATGGCAGGTATATTTTCTCACTAATTGCTGATTTTTGTTACTCTAGGCAAAGAACAAAATGCATTGTAGAAGAAAAAACTTAGCAAAATATTTTCAAAGATCAAGTCAGACTCAAAAGATACAAAACTTGTATTGTGTGGATGTGTGTGTGTGTATGCGTGTGTGTGTGTGTGTGTATGTGTGTGTAAGTGTGGAAAAATGTCCATTTCTGTTGACCAGGACTCTACACTCCATATTCCCATATTTTTTCTTCCTTATCTGGATTTCGACGCCGTTTGAAACAGCCTCCACAGGTTATTAGATTATTTTGATAAATGTCACTGTATAATATGGCTTGAAAGTATGTGAAGCAGAAATATTCAGCCAAATTTAACAATTTTTATCTGTGAAAAATCACCTTTTCTCTATTTATCATAGGTTGTTTCTTCATTTAATGATAGCTATCAAAAAAGATGTCTGAAGGAGCCCCTGTTTTTGCAGCTAAGGTATCACTGAGGTGATTTTTATTTTTGAAAAATGAGTGACTACGAGTGGGTGTGTGTATGGTGATGTTGGATGTTGTTAACTGATTCATTGAATCCGGAGAGCTTCAGCTAAAACATAACTCCTAAATAACATCAACTCTTCTCTGCTGACAGATAAGGAAATTATTTCAGTCAGGCGATCAAAAGGGCGTGTTTGAGGAGAACTGACAGGATAATGACAGCGCTGGGAAATGTAGACCTGTTCACTTTAGGGTTATTCAGCATGAAATGTTGTGCTGTATTTGATTAAAACGTTTTCCCCAATCAAGCGTGTGTGGGACAGACATGAGATGCTGTTATTACAATGGGGCGCGAGATTCCCACATCGCATATTGGAGTGCTTGAGTCTGAGTCTTGACTGTGTCTTCCATTCCAGCTTCCTGACTGGTTCCTTGCCACCCACATTTGAAGCCTGGCTGAGCTCTGGGCTCCTGCAGGCAGCCTGGCTTAGCCCTGGCTGTTGTGGCTCTTTGAGGAGTTAGTCAGTAGATAAAAATTCATTTCAAATTAACTGCCTTTTTAATAAAGTTAAAAAAATTGCAAATCATGCATCTTTGAAAAAGAACATATTGAGAGATACTATAAAATTAGGCAGGTGACTTTTAGCCTCTTGTTTAGGCGCTAACAATACTTTTCTGTAGAAATTTTTCATTTAGTTAAAAAATATGCTAAGGTAAACTCTACATAACATACTCCCCTTTAAACCAGTTTATAGAATTTAACGACTTTAAGGACATTCATATTGTTGCACCACGATCACTATCACCCATCTCTTCATCACAGACTAATCATTTAATCTACCATGAAATGATAAATGCCTGGGTCCAGCGTGATAGACAAGTGGCTAAAGTCCTTGCCTTGCATGCACTGGGATCCCATATGGGTGCTGATTCTAATCTCAGCAGCCCTGCTTCCCATCCAACTTTCTGCTTGTGACCTGGGACAGCAGTTGAGGATGCTCAACGCCTTGGGACCCTGCACCTGAATGGGAGACCTAGAAGAAGCTTTTGGCTCTTGGCTTTGGATTGGCTCAGCTCTGGCCATTGTGGCCACTTGGGGAGTGAATCAGTAGACGGAAGATCTTCCTGTCCATCTCTCCTCCTCTCAGTATGTTTGACTTTCCAACAAAAAATATTTTAAAAATAGTAAATGCTGAAATACAGTTCATTAAAAAAAATAAGAATAACTGCCTATTAGCCTTACCCCTACCTGCTGGAAACCATATTTTAAAAACTTTTAAAATTTGACAGTTTTAGGGAGCTTATATAAGTAAAAGACATTTGTCTTTTTGTGTCTGACTTATTTCAGCTACTGTAATGTCTTCAAAGTTCAACCATAAGTTAGTAGGTATTTGATTCTTTCCTTCTGCAGGCTGAATAATATTCCACTTGAATTTTATATAGTATTCTGTGAAATCATTCACAGATATTTGGGCTACTTATGTATTTTTATTACTGTGAATAGTACTGCTATGAACACTGGCATATAAATATTTTTTGAGTCCCAGCCAGTACCATTGTAATTGCCTGCTAGGTTAGTTTCCATATCCTCATTGAACATCAGTGAAATCTCTTTGAATCTATGTAGTATACTACTTTTTAATGCCATTTTAAAAAGATTCATTTATTTGTATTTGAAAGGCAGAATTAGAGAGAGAGATAGAGAGATGGGTGGAGAGATCTTTCATCTGCTGGTCCACTCCCCAAATGCCTGCAACAGCTGGAGCTGACCAATCTTAATTCAGGATCCTGGAGCCTCTTTCAGGCCTCCCATGTGGGTGCACAGGCCCAAGAATTTGAGTCATCTTCTGCTGATTTCCCAGGCATTAGCAGGAAGCTGGATCAAAAGTGAAGTAGCAGGACTTGAACTGTTGCAAATATGGAATCTCAACACAGCAGATAGAGGATTAGCTTGATAGAATACCGCGCTGGCCCCGATATAAGTCTCTTATAATTTTCTAATTATGATTGGACTATATGAAATTACAATTTTAAATTAAAATTAATTTGGTAGCGACTGGGAATTTTGAGACACTACTGAAAGATGCAGATTTTCCATTCTTTACAACAAATACATTCAAGCTAAAATCCATAAACAATTTCAGGAAATTCATATTCTTCCTATCATTTTGTCCTAGTTTTAGGAGTTTTCAATATTCTCTTGTGGTGACTATCTCTGAGGCTTTGACACCGAACTTTCATTTTTTTCCTTTTATTAGCAGAGCTTGAATAGACATCTGCAAATAAGGAAAGCACATAATGGGGCTACTACTTCTGATGCGATTGCCAATTCAGTGTATAGAAATATTGGAACCATTCATTAATGAATGGTTGTGTACGTCCTCTGCATGTTGCTTATTTATTTATGACTTTAACCGGTGACATCAGGTGTTAAAGAAAATAGGGTCTAAAGTATAGTCGTGCCTTAATGAGGATGTGGAATCACAGTGGGGTGGCTTGTTTGGTGTGACAGACTGTGACAGACTATTAGAAATATGGATGCAAAGCACTATGTTGTGCAGACTCAGAAAGAAGTGAGAGATGTGGGAAGAGAACTTCGTTATTGTCCTAGAGACCACACAAATGATCATAAGTAGACTTTCAAGGGAAATGGATTTTATAGTTTTATAGGTTTCTTTTTTGTGTGCGAGTCTAGCAAAATATGAGAGAAAAAAAATAATTGAGATAGGAATTGTAGACAAAAAGAAACCAGAACTTCTTGACTTGGGAAGTTATAATTGCAAAAGATTATAAAATTATGGGATTTCATGCCAGGAAAGCACTGAATCTTTTTATCTTGGTTGTTCTGAACTTTTGCTAATGTTCCTGAAGGATTGAATGGTCACAGCCCTCAGCCACTCAAGAGTGAAAGATGAGCATGAAGCAGACTAAATGTGTCCTGGTTCCATGAACGTGTCTGAGTTCAGTGAGACAAAATGTTCATAGATAACGCAGCATGTGGAAGAGGGCTGGTGCTTACAGATAGGCAGTGAGGGGCCATGGATCCCAGTGTTCACTGGGAACCTGTACCCCCAGCTCAGAAAGCTACTTGAGGTACATGAACCCTCTACTGCTTGTGCTCCACTCACAGAGATGAAATTATCAAAAGTCAATGAGTATGAATTTTCATGACAACTAAGAAAATGCACAAGGTTTCTGAGAATCTTATGCTAACAGAAGTACTGTCAATTTTGATGGAAAGGAACAGGGGAGTAGATAGGAAATTCTGTCTATTGGAGATCAATGGGTGAACTATCAGCTGAAAACACCTGTTACTTTCTATGAGAAACAGAGGATGATGCTAAGAATGCAGCGGTGGGCCCAGAGGAGGTGGGAGCTGAATGCGAGAGGGTTATTCCAAGTTTTAAGTCAAAATCTGATGTTGGTTGTTGTTTGTTCAATATTTCTGAAGACTCATTGTTTTCTGTCCATTTTGTCCCAATTTTATTGTTCCCCTATTGACTCGTGGGAACAGAGAACTCTTTTATGATTTCATAGCATCACACAGAGAAAGAAATTTTACCTCTGGATGAATCATATCCAGATCTTCAAACATACTTGATTTTGATTATTTATTTGGTTGATGTAATTGGGACTTTTGAGTTGACAAAATTTAGATGAGATTTTTGCATTTTGAGTTACTAGTTTTATGATTTGAGAAACTGGAGTAAGTTGGATTGGAGCAAATGCTCTTTTTAATATTTGGAGCCCAGAGGGCAGTCAATGGTGGATGTGTGATACCTCCCTCTGAGATATCCATGTTCTAATTTCTGGACCCAATAAATATGTTATATTATACTGCAAAACAGACTTTTCAGGTATGACAAATGCAAAGATTTTGAGATGGGCAAATATTAGGGATTCTGTAGGTGGCTTGATGCCTTCGTAAGAGATTAAAAAAAAAGATTTATTTACTTTTTATTGGAAAGTCAAATTTACGGAGAGAAGGAGAGACAGAAACATATTCCATTCACTAATTCACTCTCCAAGTGGTGGTACTGACCAGAGCCAATCTGAAGCCAGGAGTCAGGAGCTTCTTCTGGGACTCCCACGTGGATGCAGAATCCCAAGGCTTTGAGCTGTCCTCTAGCTCACTTGGTTTTAATCTAATGAGATGCATTTTGGACTTCTGATCTCCAGATCTGGAAGATAGCACAAGGATATTGTATGAAGCCACTAAATTTATAGTAGTTTATTGCAGCAGAAATAGGAAACCAGGCAGACAAGGTGAGTGGTTTAGAAAACAACTGGATGAGAGAGAAGAGGTGGCTAAAGCTTATAGTGAAAGAGGCTCTGGGGAGCCCCATGGTAGTGCCTATAGTATTGCAGTTTGGACAGATTGGAGATCATTTTAATAGCAAGGGGTCCTATTAAAAGTGAACTGGGCTCTAAATTAGAAGCGTGATTGGGATTCACTAAAAACCTATATAGAGGAATGTGTTTTCTCTACAGTGCAATGTTTTGAATAGAGATCCAAAGTGTTAGACTTGTTACAAAAGCTGCAGGTGCAGAGGGGTTCAATACTTATTTCATCACAGGGTCAGGAATGGAGAGGCCTTAAGCTGAGCAGGTGATTTCTAGAGAATCTACTGAGAGTTTCTGGGACAATGGGGTATCCCTTTTGTGAACTCCTTTGTGAATGTCTGCCTTGAGTAAGTATGCCAGATGGATCTCCTCAGATAAGGACGTCCACATGGTTGCACTATATCTGTACCCCTCAAAAAAGCTGGAAACAGTCAAAACCTATCTTCCAATGAAAGTTTTAAATGAAACTTCCAAAACTTTAAATTGAATAAAACATCACAAATTATTGTTTTAGTAAATGCTGTCAGCTTATAAACCAGGGTAAATGAGAAAGCATCAAAAGATAAAAACAATACTTCAAAAGGTGTACATTTATATAATTATAAAATAATTAGGATGAAATATTGGTGTGGCTATGATGGTGCTACCATGTTTTATGGTATATTTAACATGTTTAGCCTTTTGGTGTCTTTTTAGGTTTTAAAGAAGAGGAAAAATCATACAAAGTTACCAGTTGGATTCCACCTCAAGATCATCAAAAGGAATTTAACAAGTGCTTTGATAACTTTATGGAAGAAGCACTGCATGGCAGGTAATTTTTTTTCATTCTTTGAACTAAAAAGTTACTGTTTTAACCAATGTTAATGGGCCGTAGCTACGTGGAAGCTACTGAAGTGAGGATCAGGGAATGAATGAACAGGTGGAGGGACAGATGATGCGTGAATGGAGTAGATGAACATCACACATAAAACCACCCAGCAGTTCTTACACACAGTTAAGTTCTCTCTTCAGCACAAGTTTGATGCCATTAATGCCAAAATACCAGGCGCAGCAAGGAACCCAGGAGGTCCATTACTCCAACAGGATAAAGATGGGAGTGGAGGCAGAGGCAGGGATGGAGAAGAGAGATAGAAGGGAAACATCTCCAGCCATGGTGGCAGGAGGGGGCTAAAAGGGAAAGGGGGCAAGATGAGTGAAGGTGGGGAGATAACTGGCTGGGAAGCCACAGCATGTGCAGAGGCAGAGAGGAGAAGGAAGTGGGTGGGAGGGCAGTGGTGAGTGAGCATTAAGGGATGGGCCGCCAGAGTTGGTGGGTGGACTTGTCAGGCAAGGTGCCACCAGGTCATAGCCAATTGGTGGGCAACCAGAACGGTGCAGATCCTGTGAGCCGTGGGAAGAAGAAGCAGGAAGTGTGCGGGGTCCAAGATGGCGAGATCTCATTAGTCTCCGGAGCGCTATTCCAGCCACTGCTCACAGTAGTCACTGGAAATTTTTTTGTACTCTTACTGTTCTTACATTGTGAGTATGCACATATTTCTGTGAAAATTAGGGAAATGATTCTTTCTGGCCCTTCTTTGCAACCCTTCACTTAGAATCTCCCAACACAGACACTAAGGTATCCCACGTTCTTCTTGTTAATACAGAGATCAAACCGTATATGATATGCATGACTGTCAATGTTTTATACCAAAACAATCTTAGCTTTGAATTCCATTTTTACATGAATGCTTTTAAGTACTTTTGATTTGTAAATGGAGAGAAAACTGAATTCACAGAATTTCTAGCCATGTAAACGTTTATTTTGTTGTAAATCAATCAGCCAAGTACACAATGAGATGTGATGCCATCTCCTTTATATTTATCTAGAATGGAAAGGAACACATAACTCCTTGATGTTAGAGGTGCCCATTCTGGCTGACCACCTCATCTCACCCCCTTGCTTTTCTTGAAAATTTTATTCACTTGTCACGGTGTGGTGAAGTCTAAAGAAAATAACCTACAACACACTGATGGCTGTGTCATCAAGCCTCTTCCACAGTAAACAAGGAAAACCACTACAAATGTAGTAAATGAGGGGAAAGCAGTGGCTCTCAGGACTCTGAGATTTGCTACACTGAGCAACCACTTTGAGGGCAGCAGGATCCTGACTCTGATGGTGGGCAGGGTCGGGATCAAGGAAAGGGGATGAGGGTTAGGAACATTATAGGGAGCAGAAATAACTGGGCAAGAGTGACCAAGGAAGAGGGTATTTGTGGGAAAATGATAGATCTGTAGGTTGTTGCTAGATGGCCTCTGGGTTATTTTCTTTAGAGGTCAAGATACTCTTGAGTGATACAAACCTAACATCTGCCATGGCCACCATTTATTTCTTTCAGAGGAACTTTCGAAAACTTGCTAAAATTAATGGAACAACTGGGGTTTCAGTGCAGTCATTTGCTTAGCAGAAGGGATATCCTGGAGTCTCTGAGGAGTGAGAACTTCGACCTGGTAGTCGTGGAGATCTTTGACTACTGTCCTCTTCTGGTGGCTGAGAAGCTTGGGAAGCCGTTTGTGTCTCTTCTAGCCTCCTCGTTTGGTGCCTTGGATTTTGGGCTTCCAAGTCCGCTGTCTTATGTGCCAGTGTTCAGTTCTTTGCTGACTGACCACATGAACTTCTGGGGCCGGGTGAAGAATTTCCTGACGTTTTTTGGTTTCTCCATGAAGCAACGAAAATTGCAGTCTATGTTCGATAACAGCATCAAGGAGCATTTCCATGAAGGCTCCAGGCCAATTCTGTCTCATCTTTTAGAGAAAGCAGAGCTCTGGTTTGTAAACTCTGACTTTGCCTTTGAATTTGCCCGGCCCCTGAATCCCAACACTGTTTATGTTGGAGGATTAATGGTGAAACCTATTAAGCCAGTACCACAAGTAAGTACAATTTTGTCTTCACTTTGGGCTTTGTGCAGAGGCTGTTCACTGTCACTTGCCAGAGGACCCCTGAGAATAGAGGGTTAGGCAGAGGCGACACTAGTGCCTGCTTTCTGGATTGTGCAAGTTAAGTCTTGCTTGAGATTGTTAAGTTTTGAGACCTTGAGATTGAGGCTTCCATACCAAGTACACCCTAGTACAGGCTCTTTGACCTCATCCAAGTCCTGCCCTCAGTTTTCATTTGCATTTTGTGTGATGATGCATACAGGAGTCATGTAGCAATGTCCATTACATGCCACAATGGTTAAGGAGACAGGTTATTCACAGTAAACTAGAGAACACTGGAGCAGGGAATTACCAGGGTAGAACCACCAGGGCCTGACAGCACAATCCGTGGGTGTTGTCTCCAGTGTCTCCTGTGTGTAGAGATGTGGTTCCTCAGTTCCATATGGACACCTCATTTGAATTGTTTTGGAGTAGGCTGCAATCAGTATCACTTGTGAACCTGACCTCGCTGATCTCCTTGGCCTCGGGATCAGGTTTTTTAACAGGGTTGGCTGCCCGTTATGTTATCAGCACTGGACTACTGTTATATACAAATGATGAGACACAATATTTTTGCTTATTGTAGGTTGGTGTGATCCGTTCCACTATCAGAAATAGAAGACAGACAGAGGTTCAGATGACGTGGATGGCTTTCTTGTTAGTGTTTCATTCAGAGCCAGGGAGAGCCAGGGATTATTCTGGATTTTTCAGGCACCACAGTTTCCTCCCCCAACTGAGGGAGAAGGAATTGGGAAATAATTTACGGTGATATGAACTTTGTGCGGAGGAGTGGACCTGGGAAAGAGGCTCTCAGATGGAGAGAGTAGGGTCCAGTGGAGGTAGGCATGAGACAGCCATGAGGTTAGTTCTCTGGGATTCTGGTTGACTTAGAGCAGTGAAAGATTCAGCTGTATAAATAAAGTCTGGTGGGATTATGAGAGGCCTTGCCTAATAGGTGGGTCTGAGGTACAAAGGTCCGTGACTGAGGTTACCATGGAATACGGAGGCAAACATACTAAATGGTGTAGCTTGTGTGAGGGCAGCAAGAGTTTTAACCCACTCTGTTTCCATTTCTTCTACGCCCCAGCGGTTTCTCCAGCTTCTCCATTTCAGCTTCTGGCAGAACCATTTCCTCTGTTGGGCTTTGATTTTCCACTGATAGTCGTTCCAATACTGCCACCTCTGCTCTGTCTTTGAAAAGTTCCCAGATGACCTTGACTCTCTGGAGAGAGAGGGATGGTCTGGACCTGGAACCAGGGTTTCAGAGAATGAAGAAGTTCTCAACATCACAATGGACATGAACCAAGTGCGAAGGACACTGAGCTGTACCAAGAGCTATACTACTGCCAGGACAGTGAGCACAAGTAATGGACAGGAAGGTGTATTTTTTTTTCTTTAGGATAAATGAAAGGATTTATTGCTGAGAATGGGCTTATGTAACTGTGTTAGTGCTTGGGTATTCTTGTAAGAATGTTATGTTTGCTTGTGATACTACTTGAAGTCTGATACTTGAAGTCTGCCCTACCTGATACACAGACACAGAGAGAAAACTAATATAAAGTGAGGGATAGCAAAGGTAGATTGAGATGCAGTGCATGAACTGGAACCCCCAAATAGTAGAAGAAAGACCAAATCCTCTTGTTGTCAACCTTAATGGCATGAGTGTCCTTCAGGAGTCTGGACTTCTCCCAGAGCCAAGCACTGACCCAGGAGTCAGGAAGTTTGAAGGACTCAGGGAAAGGAAAGCAGATGCAGAATTTGTTGCAGCCTTACACCAAAAACATGAATATATCAGTCACAATGGGTGTGAGTATGCCATTGTCTGCTCCTTCTATTTGTCTTTCACCTTAACTGATACAACATGCAAGACAATGAATTTTTGGCTAAACTACAGCACATTTGCCAAAAATTTAGGTATATTTTGAGCATAATATGACTTTCAGTTCATGACTGCCTCAGCTTTCACATACAACCTGTCACTCTTTATTGTCTGTTTTTAGGACTTGGAGAACTTCATTGCTAAGTTTGGGGACTCAGGCTTCATTCTTGTGGCCCTTGGGTCCATGGTGAGCACCTATGAGACCCAGGAAGTCCTTAAGGAGATGAACAGTGCCTTTGCCCAGCTCTCACAAGGGGTAATATGGAAATGTAAGCATTCACATTGGACCAAAGATGTCAAGTGGGCTCCCAATGTGAAAGTCATGGATTGGCTTCCTCAGAGTGACCTCCTAGGTAAGCACTGCCCAGATCTGTGGGTCTCAGTCTAAGAAAGGAAGAGCTCTCTATAGATAGACAAAAGGTTCCATAGGACAGAAAAGAATCAACACATTGGAGTTCTTAAGGAAACAGGCTACATCTCCAATGAATTCAAGGTGGATAAGTCAGAATCTGGAAACACTGAGGTATAGGAAAGTCTGGTCTCTGCTTTTAATGACTTCTTAAAATAACAAAACATATAATCGAGTCAGTGCAAATTTTGTGAGTGATACATAGTTTGTGTTGTCAACAAATGTGGCAGGAATTTAAAAACAGTTGGGAATTACTAGGCAGTGAGTAAAAGTGAGCTCAATGCAGACTGAGACTCAGGGAAAGAACAGCTATGAGAAAGTCAAAGAGAGGCACAGGGTGAACCTAGATGTGGATGGATCAGTAGAAGAGGCATGTGCCTTACTTAACACTGTTCTGTGAAATTCCCTGGACATGATGCTTAGTTGATTTCTAGTTGAGGCAAACATCACCAAACAAAGGCAAGGCCTGGAATTTTATATTTTGGAATGTACATTCTTGGACAAGCTAAGTCATTACTTAATGACTTTAACATACCTCTAGATTTCCTTGGTATTTTCTTATGTCTTCCTTACTGTGCATGATGTTCTGAAATTTCCCACGCTGTAATGTTACATCTTTTCCTTTGCTTTCCACAGCTCATCCTAGCATCCGTCTGTTTGTCACTCATGGTGGGCAGAACAGCATCATGGAGGCCATCCAGCATGCTGTGCCCATGGTGGGGATTCCTCTCTTTGGAGACCAGCCTGAAAACATTGTCAGAATAGAAGCTAAAAAGCTTGGTGTGTCTATTCAGTTGCATAACCTCAAGGCAGATACCTTGGCTTTTATGATGAAACAAGTCATTGGAGACAAGAGGTATGCCGCTTTCTGGAGTTGTGGTCCTGTAGATTGAACAAAGGCCTAAACCTGAAGGCATTGGGTGGGTGTGCTTCCCAAAAGAAAGTGAATTTGTCAAGTCAAGGAATGGGTATATGATGTTAACAGCTGCCTCACGCTCTCTGAGTAACACTGGAGCAATTTAGACTATCCACAAAAATGAGCAGTTAATGATTTTGGGTTAAATGAGGAAATAACAGAGGCTTAGTGATCTCTAAAGTAATTAATGGTTCATTCTGCACAGTGACCTCATGTAAAAAGAAAAACAACAACAACAAAAATAAGTGCATATTTTTTCCTGCGATGAATAAGAGCTGTAGGTTATTAGAGTTTCAAGGGCACCAGCCTGACTCGGTCCTGAAGGCTTAACAGTTTATCTAGTATGTAGGAGAAAACCTGGCCATTATAGTGGAATGCCTGGAAAATAGTCTATCACTCATTCCAGAGCAATTGTATATATTTGTAACTTCATCTGTGGTGGGTTTTTTTTTTTTCTAAAAGTAGTTCATTTTCAATTGCTACATAAAAATAATCACCTGAGACTGGGTACTTTATATAAAGAAAGGAGAATTCTTTAGCTCAAGGTGTTGGAGGCTGAAAAGCCAAGACCACATGACCTCATTGATTAGCCTTGCTGAGGGCCTCTGTGGCTGAGTCAGCTCGAGGCAGATGGCACCCCACAGGGCACACATGCAAGAAGAAGAAATTGTGTGGAGGGACAGGACGACAGAGGGACTGAGGAAGGGTCAGTAACAACTGCCCACTGGCCTCTCCTCTTAAAAGTCCCATGACCTGTTTATATTATCACACTTTGGACTAAGATCCCAACACATGAACTCTTGGGGAACACTCAAACAGCATCCAATAGAGAACCGTGAGCAAGTTTATAGTTTTCAGTGGCTTTTCAAAGGCCTGGACCAAAACTGGCACAAAATTAGTGCTCCAGGTACATGTACATGTGCATGAATAACTGTATCATATATAAATGACCTTCTTATTGTATATTATAAGCTACCTTGCAGTAGGCACTTGTCCTCATAAATTTAATCTTTTTTGTAGTTTAGTGTTTGTAGCATTAAGTGTGGATATTTGTGTGTAGGGATTATTGCTTATTTTTGAAAATGTACTTATCTAGAAGCTGGAGTTACACAGAAAAGGAAGAGAGAGAGAGAGAGAAAGAAAGAAAAAGATATTTCCTATCTGCTGATTTACTCCCCAAATGGTTGCAATGGCCACGGCTGGGCCAGGCCAATGCCAGGAATCAGGAACTTCTTATGGATTTCCCACATGGGTGCAGGGACCCAAGCACTTAGGCCATTTTTTGCTGCCCTGCCAGATGCATTATCAGGGAGCTAAATGGGAAGTGAAGCAGCCAGGACTTGAACTGGTGCATATGTGGATGCCATCACAAGTGACAGCTTAATACCAGCAAAGCCACAGCGCCAACTCCTGTTGTTGATTGTTAAAAGTGACTCTAGTAAACTATCGCAAAGCCAATGTTTCCTTATAACCCATTTATGAGAGTATCAGATAGAAAAAGAGAATCCCTCCTAGGTCTTGGAAGACCAAATGAGGAACAGCCCATCTCTGTTTCTGCCAACAGGTACAAGGCTGCAGCTGTGGCTGCCAGTGTCATCAGGCACTCCCACCCCCTGACGGCATCCCAGAGGCTGGTGGGCTGGATCGACCATATTCTCCAGACACACGGGGCAGCGCACCTCAAACCCTATGCCTCCCAGCAGCAGTGGCATGAGCACTACCTGCTTGACGTCTTCTTGTTCTTGCTGGGGTCCACTCTGGGCTCCGCTTGGCTTGCTGGCAAGCTGTTGAGCATGGTGGCCAAGTGGCTGCGTGGGGCCAAGAAGCTGAAAGAGATATGATGCCAGGTGCCAAGTTGGGGTGGAGGTTTCAGGCAGTTCCTGATTCCTTGGAGGAACTAGCACAAAGTACCCCTTGTGTCTCCTCTTTTTCTCCACCTGCTGGTGATCCTGCAACGGGCTCCTCACTTGTGTCTGCCTTGGTTTAGAAAACCTGTGCACAACACACAGGTTTCTTGACTTGATTCTTGTGACTCATCTCTCTAGACCCCCACCCATCCTCACCCAGACACAGAATTCACCAGCCACTTTGCCCTCTCCTCACTCTTCTCCAAGACATAGTACTTGGATAATGTCATCCTCCCTGTCACGATGACGTCTCATTCTCTGTCCTCTATTTTTTTTATCACTTTACATAAAAAAAATCATAACAGATATTTGGCATGTTTTTCCATTTGATACTTTGTTCTTGCTTCTTCTGTAAGTTTTTTCCAAAGCACAGGAGACCTTGCCTGCTCCCTTGCATTTCGTCTAGAACAGATCCTCTCAGCAAGGAAAGAAAAGGAATTGATTTGAAAACATGAGAAAGCCAGATCATCTCTTGCATTATAAAATAGGAAGCAAAGGTGCATATAAATGAAATTCTTTGAGGAAAAGATTTCATGATGCATCCCAAATGAAACACATGTTTTCTTAAAATTTAAACAAAATAAGGAAGAGACAGTGGAACATCTATACAGGCAGTAGAAACAAGATTCAGCTGTAAGCTAAAATGAGCAGGAGGTCTATGGGTTGATGTGGAGTGAATTATAACGCTGATAAGTGAAAAAAACGTCAAGTGAAAGAGTAAACGCCCCCTTTGGCAAGACAAAGGAAGTTGAGGAGGAAAATTAAAAAAAAAAAAAACCACATTTATTCACGGAATAAATGCTGACTTTTCGCAGGAAGTGTTTGTTTTTGTTGTGTGTTTCTCTGCCGAGAACAGAGTGGCAGAGTTAGCTCTCCATACAGTCACTTCATAAATAAGTTTGGAGTTGGAAAAACAGATATTTTGTCTGATGACTTATCTCCCTCAAGCCATAGCTGGGATCTGGGAACTCAATCTGCATCTCCCACATGGTGGCAGAGGCTCAGATGCTTCAGCTGTCACCTTGTTCCCCAGCATGTACCTAAGCAGGAGGCTGGAGTGGAGAGGAGATGGAAGGTTGTTTCACCCCCAGGCACCCCAGTGTGGAATGCAGGCATCTCTAGCAGCTCCTACACAGCTGAATCAAATGCCTGCTCTAGATTGCATGTTTCAAATGTCCATAGTACAAATGTGTTTTGCTCAGTTGAACAACTTCACTCAGCCATTCCTGAATGGTTTCATGTTTGTTCAAACTCTGTGTTGGACATCTTGAAAGATAACCAGGCTCCCTCTTAGTCTTCTAAGAGCTCTCTTTTGGCTTCTCATGCCCTACTAATTAATTACAGATTTGGACTGTTTTGGTTATTGGAGACGCATCTTGTCTAAATGGCTGCTTTTCAATTGCTAATTAGCTCAGTTTCACAATTTCATTTGTTGAAAATGACATCACTCCATTTCTGGGGACCGGGTCTTCATGTCTGGCCAGGAAGGTGGCAACAAGAAGCCCCTGAAACCACCCAAGAAGCAGGTCAAGGATATGGATGAGGAGGATGAGTTTTTCAAGCAAAAACAGAAAGATAACCAGAAGAAAATTGAGCTGAAAGTGAACTCTGAAGGGAAGGGTCCCTTGGCCACAGGTGGAATTAAGAAATCTGGCAAAAAGTAAGCTGCTCCTTGCAACTGAAGTGATGCTGCCCTCGACCCCACGTGTATCCGAACAACTGCATTCCTGGCTGGAACGTCTTTTGTCACCTGTAGTTAGAATGCAGTGTTGACCTGGAGTCTGTTGTGCATTTACAAATAAACTTTTGTAAAAATGGGGGAAAAAAAAGAAAGTGACATGAAACAGACACACATATATATTTTTGAACAAGTGGGCTTTTCTTGCCCCACCAGTACATTGTTAGAAATCTTCACAATCAATTTCAGAGTTTATTAAAATTCACATGGAATATTAAAATTCACCTGTTTCACTTGATAAGAAAGCAGAGATTCTGTTCTCTTGGGGATTCTCTCAGATTCTGTCCTCTCAGAGATCCTAGAAAACAAATACCACACTGGCCTGAGAACGCACATCCTGTAAACTGTGTAATGGATGGAAAGGCACTTCACAACTTAAGGGTGCACAGGGGTGGGACTGGCATGGCTAGGGTGAATGTCATAGACACTCAAAAAAGCAGGAAGATTTAGATAACTTTCTTTAAGCAGAATTGTTAAGCTGCTGCTTATGTGGCAAACCTACAGCCAAGAGTGACAGAAGTGAATAAAAACCGAAGAAAAGAGGAAAGGAGAGGAGAAACTAAGAATGGGCATGGCTTTGTAATCGCGTGTGAATGCAGGGAAGCACTCCGATGCACCTGCAGGTGCACCTGCCTGCTCCCAGGAGCTGTGGCTTAAATCTCACCTGGTAATAAAGCATCCTAGCAACATATCTGGTGGAGACAACAGAAGGGCAGGGAGGGGCTGCCTGAAAGAAGAGAGACAGTTTGCTGTATATTAGCATAAACAATATAGGGGGCAAATTTTACTATCATTCTAGAAACCAAACAATTTCCAGCAAGATTTCTGCCTTGGCTCCTCTCCCAGGGTAAACAGCTTGAACTTGCACTGGCCGTGGGATTTCCTAGGCAACCGGAGTGTAAACTTGAGAAAAGGTAAGGTCAGCATAGGGATTGACTGTGAACCGGACCAATGAGGTTGTGAGACTGCCCTCGTTGTTCCTAAATTGTCCAATTAACACTAAGAGGCTGGGCCAGGACCTCTGAGGAAGAAGGTAAGAGGGAGGAGGCAAAGAGACAGGGGAGGGGACCAGATTTCCCAGATGCGTCCATAGTTTCGGTTCCAAGCAACTGTGGCAGCAGGTTAACATTGAAGGTAAACCAATCTTTATTTATTGATTTAATCAGCCTTATCCTGTGTTAGCTAAGAAGAGAAGATAGTAGATGTTACGGTGGTGAAAAGAGGTCCCAGAAGTTTGTGAGAAGCCACTTCCAGGCTGTCAGTCCTTACAGGAAACAGCCTGGCACTGAGATGGGCTTTTGTGATCTTGGTCTGGGATTTCCCAGACCACAAGCATGGAGCCGGATGGGAAGTGGAATAGCCGGGATAAGAACTGGTACCCATATGGGATGCCTGCAACTTGGAGGTGGAGGACTAGCCAATTGAGCGAACATGCCAACCCCGCGATTCTGTTTTAAATGTGTGTCTTCCTTCTGAAGATCCTGGATTTTCCAAGAGATGTCAGAAAGTGAAAGTCTGGCTCCCAGGTCCAAGGTCATGATCAGGCAAACATAAACTGGACATGCACCTGTAGCTATGTTCTGGATGTGATTTGTCCCCCAAGGGGTTGTGCATCCAAGACTTGGTTCTCAGGGTGGCCCTGTTAAGATGGAGCCTAAAGGAAGATCATCAGGGCCCTGCGCTTAGGAAGACTAAGGTCGTTCTAGTCAAGGATCTGCTACTGGAGAAGCAAGCCTGGCCCCACCAGCTCCTCTGCCTCCTGCTCCAGCTGCAGTCACTTGTCATTCACTCCCAGTATTGTCCTTTGTCCTCTGTGACACAGCCAAGAGGGCCCTCCTAAGGACCGAGCCAGAGATAGTGCCATCCCTCTTGAGCCTCTGGAACTATGAACTGAATCAACCCCTTCTCTTTGTAGGCAATCTGTAGCAACAAGAGCAAAAAGCTAATACAGCAGACAAAAGCCAAAGGTACCTGCCAGGCTAAACGAGTGTCCCGCGTGAAGGACACGTCCCACCCCCCTAACCCTACTGTGAGATGTGAGGCGATGGGCTGTGTGAATGACATTGTGCTGGAAGATGTCTCGCATGTGCTAGAAACACACCCAGGGCTCTTTCGTGTCCTCTGGAGGCAGTTTTACCAGCTACTCTGAGAGTGGAACTCCAATTGTGAAGAAAATTGGCTTTTAAAATAGGGATGTGATTTTTTTTAATTCTCTCTCATTCTCTTTACTGGAGATATTAGACTAGATATTAGACTAAAATTTTCATTTAGACTCAGAAGACCTTTTCATACTTGAAGTTTAATTTAAAAATGAAAGAAATGTACCAGAATATGTTTGAAGGCAGTGACTGGACAAACTTGCGCCATCTGCATGGAATTTTGTCTTATTGTTACATGATCAGCAGGAGGATGGGGGGGAGAAACCCTGTGATTGCGCAAAAAAAAAAAAAATTCTTTTATAAAAGTGGCCCTTTGGGGCCCCACATTGTCGTGCAGCAGGTTAAGCCATTGTCTGCAAAGCCCACATCCTTACCAGAACAATGGTATGAATCCTCACGGCTCCACTTGTGACCCAGACCCTTGCTAGTGCACCTGAGAAACCAGCATATCACAGCTCAAATGCGTGGGCTTTGCCACCACAGGGAGACTCAGACGGAGCTCCTGGCTCCTGACTTCACCCTGGCTCACCCAGCCCCAGCCACAGCCGTCACAGTCATTTGGGGAGTGAACAACAGAATGGAAAACTCTCTCTCTCTCTCTCTCTCTCTCTCTCTATTTACCTCTACCTGTGTGTATGTGTATGCCCCATCTCTCTCTGTGCCTTTCTACCCCTCAAATAAGTAAAATTAATATTTCTAAAGTGCTCCCTTGAAAACAGTGGGTGGGGGGAAGGCAGAAGGGGAAGTCCCTGAGCCTAAGGAACTGTACCATGAAAAATAAAGAATTTTTTAAAATAAATTATTTAATTAAAACAATAAATAAGTGCCCCTCTCAAAGAAATTTTGGATCGCAGGAGTCTTAGCCCATTCATGCTGCTATAGTAAACTATCCTAGCCTGAGTAATCAATAAGGAACAAAATATAGTTCCTGGAGACTGGGAATTCCAAGTTCGAGACAGCAGCAAGTCTAGAGTCGGAGAAGGGCTTTTCTCTCTGCTTCCTAAATTGCAGCCTCCAGAGGAGAGGAAGCCCATGTCCTCACAAGGTGGAAAAGCTAGAAAAGCGTGAGTCCTTTGGAGTGGGCACAGAAGTGAGAACGGTGGAAGAAGAAAGTGAAAGGTTGCATTTGTTTTGAAAATGGATGGCAAAACGACATACATTTTAGGAGTTTACTGTATTACTGGGGACTGGTCTGAGAATTGATCTTGAGTTGGGCGAGAGAGGAAAAGCTTGGATGTGGCTAAGTGCTTGAAAGAATTTTCTCAGTCCTTGGAACTATCTGGAAGTCCTACCGGCTTGATCTATAGCTACCTGCCCTCTGTATCGACTTTTCTGTTTTCTCTCTACATAGCAGAATGTTTTAAAGTCACATGGAACTCTTAGACCAATTCCAGGTCTCTTGCTATTGAGAATGGCTAATGGAATAGCACAGGTATTTTAACGATTGTTCTTAAGGCAAAAATCATTATAGGGTCTGACTGTGGGGAAAATGGGTTTTGCTGGCTTCAGGGGGATGTGATAGGCACTTGGGATAATAGAAGAGCTCTGCAGAGGATGGGAGCTGCGTGACCTCCTGTGCCCGGGTGGCACGGTGCCTGCATCTCAGCACCCAGCAGTGCAGACAGAAGTTGGGGACAGTCCCCATCTGACCTCCCCAGGGAACGGCCAGCCAGCCTGCTGGGATGGGAGCTTTCCCAAAAGACTGACTGTCCTCTCGCCCTGCATGGCTGTTGATGAGCCTTCTTGCTACCCAGTTCTGCCCTTCCCTCTGCGCTTCAGCATGACCTGACTTTACTTTTCTTCAAAGTTGATCTGAGATGAGTAGCCCTGCCTGTTTCCTTGGCTTTTCCAAGCAACCAGCCTTTTTTCTACAACAAGGAAGCCAGCAGAATAGCGACAGAGAAGCCAAAAGGGGTGCGAGTTTACAGGACGGGTCGGGGAGACGGTTTCTTTGGATTTTGCAAGAAAGAGGCTGGGGGAGAGCTTGGTGCCTTGTCGTGTTTGCTTCAAGGATCCCTAGGGTGGGAGTGGGGAGTGGGTGGACTTGGAGAAGTGGTAGGGGATGGTTAGAGGACAGAGAGCAAGCAAGCGAGCTGTAGTTCGGCTTACTGCCGTTAGGGGGCACCAAAGACAATCCAATAGCATGAAGTGAAGGCAGGGGCTGAGTAACTTCTCCCCAAACACCTGCCACCCCATTCTTAGTGGTGGAAGAACCATCTCAGAACTGTTTGTCTCAATAGTAAAAGACTGGTTAATGATTACAATGCATCATAAAACCTTCAGAAGGAAAGGAAAATGTTTTGTGGACAATTTGGTTTTTTTTTTGTGTGTGGCAGTTTTATTAGTTTTTAAAATCAATACTTTTTCATGGAAACAACTGGACCAAAAATCTGTCACAGAATTTTGGGACCCATTGAAACAAAGTTTAATGAGAAAAAAAAATTGGCTTAAACCTGCCACTGAACCCTATTGAGAATAGTCCGTGCAATTTCATTCTACACGCACTCTCGAAGTCCAGGCAGATGGCATTGGCAGTGACTGAGCCCTGGGCTTGTAGCCTCAGGCTGCAAGGTAGCCTGAACAGGGGCCACAGACACAAACTTTCCCCCACCTCTGCTGCCAGTGGTCCCACCTCGCCTGTGCCCCGATCCCCAGGCCTTTGTGTGGTGTGGGTCTGTGCACGTCCCTTCCCAAGCACACACTGACTAGGATGAGGTGAGGAGCCAGCAGTGGGGTGCCAGCTCTGAGGCCGCCACCATGGACGTCCTCGGCTCCACGTCCCCACACTGTTCATGTCCAAAAGTGGCGCTTGCTTCTGGCTGGCTGTCTCGTCCTCCTGTCCACCGGCTCCCTGCACCCCAAAGGACTCCTTGTGGCCTCCCATTGCTTTCAGTACAAAGTCCAAACACCCCAGTGGTTCTTTGCTTTGTGGTACCTGCTTACTTGTCTGTTTCCACCCCCCTGCCCGATTTTCTAGTTTCTTCTTTCTTTTAATCCCTCCACTCTTTGTTTCCCCACCACGCCCCCTCTCCTACCCGTGCTCTTCGACCTTTCTGAAATATACCCGTTTCTTTATACTGTTTTCTGTTTCCTGTCAGTTTAGCACTTGGTGCACCTGCTCTCTAAAATGCACAGCGCTCTTCCTTCGACTCCACAGCCCGACTCCACTCTGCCGCTTCATTAGGATGAAATCTGAAATCTGTTCAGAAAGTCATCCCACAAAGCAGCGTCAGCCTCTCTCTGGGGATTTGGCACGGCTCAGCTGTGGGTTGGCATTCTCTCTGCCAGGCTGTAAGCTTCTGTTCTGTCTTGGGTGCACATCCAGTTATCTCAGCCCCAGAACACCCTGGGTTCTCAGATGTCTGTTGAAGCTATACAGCCGCCGGGGTGAAACGCGGAGACGCAGAGCGACCACGCGGTGGCGCTGTGGGCACGGGCATCCGCAGCACAGCGTCCGCGGGATTGCAGGGCAGGCTGGAAGCTCAGCGTTTGTCACCAAGTCCTTAGCGCTCAGAGCTCTTTTGGGACCAGGGACACTCATGATGTCAGTGATGTATGTATGGGGACAGACCTTACTCTGTGTCTGTACAAACTTCAGAAACTCCTGCCTTCCTCCAAAGCCCCAGTTTCTTTTGTTTGGATAAAAAAAAATGCTATAACTCATTCGGATAAAGCGAACAATTTTCACGTATCTCACAATCTAGATTAAGGGGCATAGTGATAGGTCTCACCATACTCTCCCTCCGCCTGTGTTCCCCACCCCCTCCTTCTATCTTTCTTTTCAGAATTTTTACAGTAACATTCTTTCATTTCTCTTTAACATCACAGGCTTAGCAGTCCCTTAGGTAAAGATTTCAGCACATGACAAGGAAGAAAAAAAGCCCCGCTATTTTTCAAGATTATAGAGGAAGGATCTAAGCAATAATCAAACATCAAAATATCAATCTCTCTCACATAGATTATGCTTTTTGCTGTCTGTGTACTAGTCATCACAGATCAAGGAAAAGCCACACTATTTGTTTTTAGGGACCGGCTTATTTCACTAAATCTAGTGATTGCCAATTCCATCTTTTTTTTTTCTGGACTTTTTATTTTTCTAGGCTGAGTAGTATTCCATAGTGTATATATCACACATTTCTTTATCCAATCATCTATTAATGGGCATCTGGGTTGATTCCATATCTTAGTTATTGTGAATTGAGCTGCAATAATCATGGCGGTACAGATAATTTTTCATGTGCTGATTTCATTGTGTTTGGGTAAATTCCCAGGAGTGGGATGGTTAAATCGTATGGTAGATCTATTTTCGCAGTTCTGAGGAGTCGCCAAGCTGTCCTCCATGGTGGCTATAGTAGTTTACATTCCCACTAAGAGTGGATTAAGGCACCTGTTCCTCCACATATTTGCCATCATTTATTGCTTTTTTTTTTTGATTTTTCAATGATAGCCATTGTAACTGTGCAGAGATGAAAGCAGTGTGGTTTTAATTTGCATTTCTCTGACGACTAGAGATTCTGAGTGTTTAATGTGTCTATTGGCCATTTGTATTTCATCCTTTGAAAAATTCCTGTTCGTGTCATTTGCCCATTTCCCAGCTGGGCTATTTGTTATGTTGTTATGGAGTTCCTTGAATTCTTTATAGATCCTGGATGGCATATTTAGTATTTCCTGTTTTTTCTTAGATGGGGGACTTAGGATTCAGTTATTAAGGTTCCACGGTTTTCCAGGGATTGATTTCTGGAGTCATGCCTCACACACTAACATCCTGATCAAGCACAGTGCCTTGAAAACAGCTCAGAATGCATATTTGTAATTTGTTGAACAGAATGACTGTGTGATAATAACCAATGCTTTGCGCAACTTCCCCTATTGTTGCTGGTGGGGCTAGCCTCGCGGAAGCCTAAGTTGGGGTCCTGGGCCAGCCTTTACCAATGAAAGATGGCTGGACCGCATCCCCTGACAGCTCACTTGCTGCTTACACCCAAGTTTATGTGCTGATGGTGCCGGAGGTGTGGCCTTCGGGAGTGATCAGGCTCAGGTGAGGTTATGAAGCGGCCCTGATACCACTGATGGCTTTGCAAGAGCAGCCGGCTTGCTTGCTCTGTCACACCCTGAGAAGCCTCCCGCCACAGTTTGCTGCAGCAAGAGGGACTTGGCTCTGAACTGCTGGACTTGCTGGCCTCCAGAGCCAGGAGTCAGATACAGTGGTATTTATTATCTGATCACAGTATTTTTGTCAGAGCAACAAAGACAAGGATGGTCAGCACACCTGAAACAAGAGGAGGTGGCACTAGATGAACTTGTGAATTCCCAAGAACTGTGTCATTGCGTGATCTGTGCACCTTACCAGATTCTCCCACACCCCCATTTCTTACTATATTGATATATTCTCTAAATCAATGAGACTTACATAACTTTAAACTAATTACTCAAAAACGTATAGTGCATTCCTAATGTTCTCCACCCACCAACTATGTTAAATTCCAAAAGTATTTTCATCACCTCAAAAGGAAATGCCCAGCTGTTTCTGTGTTGGGTGAATCCAGAGGATGCACTCTCCTTGTGCCAGTGTGTCCGCTCTGATGACACCCAGGAGGCGCCTGTCTCTGCACTCACCTTTGTTCCTATTTCTGGATATTTAAAACACAGAAGTACAAATTGGGAAAATAGTCTTACATGCAGTTGTCAGGTGGTAGTATCTACTTACTATGTTTTTGTTGTTGTTTTGTTTTTCTGCCCTTCCACCTCGTAAGGTATTGAAGGGGCATTGACCTGTTAATCAAGAAGAACACACTGGCTATTAGTAAGAATCATTAAGGCTCAAGTGTTGAAAGTTTTCATCAAGATGGACATAATAGAAATTAATGCTTGGTTCAAAGGGGAGGGGAGAACATAGGGCCAAAGGAATATGCAGAAATAGAAATAAAAAGACACACATCAGATTAGTTCAAAAAAAGTATAGCAAGGTTGGATTTCTTTTCTATGGAGGGGGGAAGGCTTCAGAAAAATTATTTCCCTTGGAAAATGGCTGTGTGTTTTAAATGTTGTCCTGGCTGGAGAAAGTAGGTGTCTTTAGGACTGGGTAAGTAAGTAATCAATGTGCCAGGTGCAGAGTTGGCATACTTAATGCCTGGAGACTGAGAAACTGAGAAGTGTCAGGGCAGAGCCAGTTGTAAATATATTTCTTAGTGAGGCTGCTGTCGCCCTGTCCAGCTAGAGGGTGATGGCGAGGACTGAATTGCATCATTGCACTGTGGGTTCCTCTTCTCAGATGGCAGGGACAGCACGCCATGACCGAGAGATGGCAATTCAAGCCAAGAAAAAGCTCACCACGGCCACTGACCCTGTCGAAAGACTCCGACTGCAATGCCTGGCCAGAGGCTCGGCTGGCATCAAAGGACTTGGCAGGTAGGACCCGGATAACACATAGCACAGAGCTTGGGCATGACTGGGTGAGGCCAATGTTGGCTGTGTGATCTTGGGCATGTCATTTCCTTGTTTGTGATGTACAGAGTTGCAAAGAGTTCTTTTAGGTTCGTAGATCCCATTTCAGCAAGGCCCATGTGTGCTGTTGGACAGGGAGGCTTCTGGGATAACTTTAGATAAGGGAGACACATGAGCAACGAGTAGAGAGACCTAGAAAAATGACGAGGAAGATACTCCATGTAGCTGGGATAATTGGGAAAGAAGAGGAAGGAAGGAGTGATGATTTGGTGGTAACTGCAGAATATGGAGTTCTACCTGAAGACAGTCATGTTTTGCTCACTCCTATAAACACCAGAACTGCCCATTTGATAGTTAACAGCTCGCTGACTGTGGGAGATCTTCCAGGTGGTGGATTCGGTTCTGAGTACTCACAGTGCAAGTTTCTTGGGCCTGAGAAGTCCAAGGTGAAGGGAGATTATGAGCCTCCCGCTGGCAAGTTCTGCGCATTCCAGCAAACCCTAGTGAGTGTCTGCCATGGTCCAGGCCCTGTACATGTTCTGGATGATTTGTGGGTGAAGAAGACTTCTCCAGGGCTTGGTGTAATGGATCAATTGGTTTAACTTACACTTTGAGCACTGGGACCCCATATGGGCACTGGTTTGTATCCTGGTCACTCCACTGCCCATCCAGCTCCATGCTTGTAGCCTGGGTGAGCAATATATGGAGAATGGCCCAAGTCCTTAAAACCTTGCACACAGGTAGGAGACCCAGAAGAAGCTCCTGGCTCCAGCTTTAGGTCATCTCAGCTCTGGCATTTGCAGCTGTCTGGGGAGTGAACCAGCAGATGGAAGATCTATCTTCCTGTGTCTCCTCTCTGTATATCTGCCTTTCCTATAAAAATAGCTAACTCATTTTAAGCCTTCTCCAGTACCCATGAAAGCCTTAGATTAAGAGGAGTGAGTCATGTCAATGAACTTTGCAGTGGCCCAGAAAGATGAGTGTTGGGAAATAGAGGGCCCATGGAAGGGATAGAGTACCTTTTGAGCATTTCTAAGTCTCAGACCAAGCCCAACTCTGTCACAAAGCTTGGGCTGTGGTGGATAGGGACCCTGGGGGTTAGGTTGTTACAATCTAGTGGTAAGATGTGCCCACTTCCTTTCAGTATGATGGCATTGATGCCTCTCATTCTGGGTCCACTGTGTTGCCTTTGCAGACCCCTGAAAATCTCATGCCTTTTCCCTTTTTCTGATCGATTTCCTTATGCCATGTCCCCACATTGCACCTGCAGTGGTTCTTCTGCCATGAACCTGACTGCTGCCCATAGACACCATGTCATCCTCAGCCTGTGTTTCCTTTACAGTCTTGGCCTTGTCCGAATCTCTGCTCCGTCTCTTCCCCCTCTACTCCTTAGGGTCACCTGAATGTTTAATGCTCTCCTTCAGGCACAGAGAATAGTTCTTCCCTCTTGGTTCATTATCCTTCTCCCATAAATCCTGCTTTGTAGGACAGCCCTGAAGTTTGGATCCTACCATTTGCCAACCTCCAGGATTTCCAACATCCTGAGAAATGTTGGCTCCTGGAACAAACTTTCCATCCTGTCTTGAGTCTTTATTCTGGCAAAGGTCAGGGTGCCTCTATTATTATCTTGACATTGTCATTTCTGACATCACATTTGGATGGTTTCCAGCCGTATACGCTCTTGTGCATTTGTTTGCAGCTGCCTCCTAAATGTAGACATTTCCCAAGATGCTGTTGCCAGCATCTTTAATTCACCATACATCTTGCCCACTCCTGAGTTAGTTAAAAATTTCCCCAGTCCCTTGCCACATTCTTGGCACTGAAAACTCTTCCTGAGTGCCAAACTCATTTCGCAATTTGTATCTTTTATCAGGAACAACACTAGCTCCCTACTAAATAAGTACCTGATTAATAGCTCTGCATCATTGGCTTACTGTCCAAAACCAAATAAAAATTCATCCAGCCCTGATACAGACACAGATTCTCCTGCAGCACTTACTCCTTAATGCTGTCACCAACTTGCACATTTCCTTTCAACTGAAAACTTTAGAATCTGCTTCAGTAACTTGTCACATTGGCTCCTCTGCTTCTATTAAATGTTGCAATCTCTTTTCTTACTTTTACCTCAGCTGCTTTCCTATAGACACTAAATATCTTTCCCCTGAACTCTTGCTATAAAGTATTCTTAGTGGTTCCTTCACTTCCAGGGATTTTGTCCTCTAACTCATTTAACCTACCATTGCTAGAGTTCTTTCCAGCTTTTATTTTGGTGATGTCACTTCACACGAAAACCATTTAAAAATATTTTAAAAATTCAAAATAAGGGTGGGCACTTGATATAGAGGTTAAGACACTGTTGGGGGGCGTTTGCACCCTGTATTGGGGTACCCTGACTTCAGTAACTGCATCCAGTTCCTGGTTCCAGCTTTCTATTCATGTGGACTAGGGGAGGCAGTTGTGAGGACTCAGGCAATTGGGCTCCTGCCAACGATGTGAGGCATAGATTGGGCTTCTGTCTCCATCTGTCAGGGACTGTGGCAGGCATATTGGAGTGAAGCAGTGGAGGTGCATTTCCCTTCTTCCTCCCCTCCTTTCCTTCTCTCCTCTCTCTCTCCCTCTCTCCCTCCTTTCCTTCCTTCTTTTTTTTCTCTCTCTCTTTCTCTCCCCCTCTTCCTCTCAAGAAGTAAATTAAAAACCCCAAATCAGGGGATATTTATAACTGGTCATATTCTGCCACTAATTCAAGTTTCCATTTTTGTTCTGTTACCTTTCCCCGAGCAGTAGTCCTCCGGCTGCCTTGGAGGGTGTTCAAGCATCCTTGAAATGTGCTTTGACCTGCAGTGCATCTTGTCTCCCTGTAACGGTGACTTCGAACAGTACTTGTTCTTGTCTCTCTCCCTCTTTTTGCCTGTCTCTGTCCTTCCTTCCCTCTTGCTCTAAACGTCTTAGGGAGGAGATGAAGTCTAGCTCCTTTTGAATTTCTCCTCACAGGATTTAGAGCGGTATTTGGCACGCCGTAGATGGCCAATGAGTTTGGACCTTCTATTGCTCTTTAAAAATATTTACTCGTTTATTTCAGAGTCAGAAAAAGAGCAACGGCTTAAGGACGCACTCTTATCTTCTGATTCACTCCCCAAATGCCCATAACAGGATGCAAGGAGGGAGCTAGCAACTCAATCCTGGTCTTTCACATGGGTGGTAGAAATCCAGTTACTCAAGAAATGACCACTGGCAGTAACAGGCAGCTGGAATCAGGAATCAAACCCAAGTGCCCTGGCATGGGTTGAAGGTGTCCACTGCCTGACCAAATCCCCCACCCCAGGGGTTTAATAGTGAATTATTTATTTCAATTTTTTTAAAAAAAATGTTTAGCAAATGTTTTTTTACAAGCATTTTATGAGAAAATCAGTTTTGTTACTGTAGCACGGGTATGTATTCATTAGTTATTTTAATCATTAATTCATGCAGGCAGCAAATACTAATAGAGTGACATCTATGTAGTGAACATCAAAAAGTAGTCAAGCAGTTAGGGTTTTTGCCCCTATGAAGCCTGTGTTCTACTCCGTGTGGCTCCCTTACTCAAAGTTCACTTTCTTGTTTTTGAAATGATGTGTGAAATACCGGTGAGTAAGGAGCTGATCTTTTCCCATGTAAAGAAAAGTACAACTTCTGCTTCAGATTATACATTTTCTTTCCCCCTTACAACTGGTAGGGAATTAAGACAAACCGATCTAGTCCTTCATGGAAAACTGAGAGCCAGAGGTTACATGTTATTCTTGAGGTCACATAGCTAGTTTTAGTAGTAGAATTGGAATGCAAGCCCAGTTTTTTTTTTTTTTCCTGAATTGTAGTTAAGAGCTGTTTCTACATGCCAGACTGTCGACAAATCAGAAAATTCTCAAGGCAGTGGGAAGTGATGGTGGAGATGGGAACATGTGGTCAACACAATGGGGCAAAATGAGATTTATGGAAGCATCTCAAGTGTCACAATTGAGCACAATAGGGAGGAAGGAGTGTATGATTTCTTTATAGAAAAGGCTATGTGTAACATGTGTTTGAAGGGGATTAGGATTAGTAACAGATCATCAGATCTGTTTCAAAGTACTAACAACCTTTCTGTCCATTTTGGGCAGTTCGTGGGTTTACGTTGAAAATAGGAGAAGCGATGCATACAATCTATGTTAGGTTTTAGAGGACGCATAGATTAAAACAGCATAAATAGGGTTTACCTACCTACATTTTCTGGCTTCCTTTAATTGAGAAATAGCCAAATTCTGCATTCCTTGGGTCTGTTAGCCAAGTCAGGCACTGGGAACATAGTTCATGCTATGTATATAGAGTGATTGTGTGTGTGTGTTCCAATTTTGGAAGGGAAGGCGCCAGAAGAAGCCGTATTCTCCTTTGGAAAACCTTAATTGTAAATTGCTTTTTAAACCTTCATGCTTGTGGTCTGTGAGGGCTTTTTTTAAAAAAATTCTGTGTGTGTATTTTCTTCAGAGCATTTCGAATTATGGATGACAACAATAACCGAACCCTTGATTTCAAAGAGTTTGTGAAAGGGTTAAATGATTATGCTGTGGTCATGGAAAAGGAAGAGATAGAAGAGCTTTTCCGGAGGTTTGATAAAGACGGAAATGGTCTGATAGACTTCAATGAATTTCTTCTCACTTTAAGAGTAAGCAGCCCCTTGAATCAGTGTGTTTGCTGAAATAGACTCTCAAGGAGTCTCCATTGGTTATTTTAAGGTTTGACCTCAGAAGTTATTAGTGCATTGTGAGGAGTTGGGGTAGAACTTTGGGTTCAGTTTCAGGGGCGTTTTTGTGGCAGTAGAATTTAATCGTAAATAATTTAATAGTACATATTAAATTAAATATTAAATAGTACACGTAGAATTTAATGGCACACAACATTGCATTATTTCCTGTCACTGAGGGAATATGATCTTTCATTACATGAGATGTGAGAGTTCATCTGCTGAGTAAATGTAAACGTATTTTTTCTATTCTTTTAGCCTCCAATGTCTAGAGCCAGAAAAGAGGTCATCATGCAAGCTTTTAGAAAGTTAGACAAGACGGGAGATGGCGTTATAACCATTGAAGACCTTCGTGAAGTGTATAATGCAAAACATCACCCCAAGTACCAAAATGGAGAATGGTCAGAGGAACAAGTATTCAGGAAATTTCTGGATAACTTTGATTCTCCTTATGAGAAAGATGGATTGGTAAGTAAAAGGCTTAATCAAAAGCAACGTTTTTTCTATCTCGTTTAACACTGCAAAGGGACGATGGGTCCAAAGCCTTAAACATCTCAACACGTTGTTAACACATTTGTTATAAATGCACTTGCATTGGTAGGGAATTCATATTCAGATAGATATCCATTATCTGGAGGATGTGGCATTTTGATAAAACACTCTGGTTCAACTAGTTACATCCCCATGAACAAGATCCTGTAAAACATATTCAACTTTAAAATTAGACCATTTAATTGGTGGGGTGATAGACTCACAAGGCCTTTTAGAATGTTCCAGTGCCTTTTACATCCATCCTAATGAGCCTTTGCCATTTAGAGGCAGCTTTTGGTAAAGAGAATACCAGGTAACAGAATTCACTCTGATTTATTCTTTGACATGCTTTGAGATTAGCTTGAATAAAAAGTGACCACTCCATCTCCATTAAATTGTTATTTTTCCATTAAAAGCACATAGATTAAAAAAAAAAACCAAAAAAGTGCATAGCTTGGTAAAGAATTGTGTCCTTATAGCCATATGTGAGTTGAGATGGAATTGGCATGTGTCTTTTACCCACAACCGTAAATGGACTGCAAAAATGATTTTACTTATTTGAGATGCAAAGTGATAGAGACAGATAGAGCCTATGTGCTGACCGATTGCACAAATGTCCAGGATGGTTGGAGCTGTGCTGGACTGAAGCCAGGTTGCCAGGAACTTAATCCAGGGCTTTCAGGTGGGAGGCTGGGGCTAGCCATCAGCTCAGTCATCAGCTGCTGCCTCCCATTGACTAGAACTTAGAATTGAGAGCAGAGCTGGGACTCCAATACAGGTAAATTGATATCCATGAGCTTGTAACAGCCAGAGCCAGTTCTGCTCTGAGGTCCGGAAGATGGGAGATGGGGCTCTCTTCACGACTGATGTCAGAAGCAGCAGAACCTCAGCATGTGTGACCTCAGTCCTTTTGCAATACAGGAAAAACTTGCAGGACAGTGGACGGAAAGAGGCGGTGCTCAGGGGAAGTAGAGGCTTTTCCATTCTGAAGGGAATTTCCCCTTTGCTTTTGTGTGACACTTTACAGTGAGACCTACGTATTAGGAGGAGGTGGGGAAGAGGCATGGGGCAATTCTCGGTCTCTTGTTGACGTTTTCCCCATCTTCTTTAGGCTGAGAGATTGTGGAGGTCGGTGAAAGAAGGCGGTTTTTAAATTCCGTGGGGCCATCACATCTTTGGGGACAGAAGTAGCAGAGCTGCATGTTTTGCTCCAGCGTTGCTGTGCCTTTGATCTCTGAGATGTCAGGGGGAAAAATAGCCAACTGCCATTTCCCCAAATTCACCCAACTGTCTGTGGATCCCAGGGGTGTCTTGTCGTACTTTCTGCAGGTGGTTCCTCCTCATCGTCATGGGAAACCTCAGCTGCCCCTTTCTCTAACGCAGATCAAGGCAGCTAGTTGTGATTCAGCTGATTCAAGTCTCCACCCCTCCCTGTGTGACATTTAATCAGCCACTTGAAGCTCCCCAGGACTCAGAGACATCACTGAATTAAGAGCAGTTCCAGCATGTGGTGTCACCTGAACATTACAGTCCCTGCAGCAAAACCCAAGTCTGATTGTTTGGGATTATGGTGGAGAGAGAGGGATAAGTTAGTAATGCAGATTTCTGATTGTACTACAGGACCATATAGTCTGACTTTGGGGGTTGGAGACCAGAATTTACATATTAAGTGTGTTAAGTGTCTCCTATACGCATTTATATTTGAGACTCTGAAGAATTCAGACTTGAGTTTTTAATTATTGAGTATGAGGTGCACATGAGCCTCAGTTAGCATGCTATTGAATCTGGGCAGCGTTTGCTGAGCATTTATCAACTGGTCATCACACTACAGAGATCTTCGTTATGCAACATAATAAAAATGTCTGAATTTGTGCAACTCAAAGTTTCATACATTGAATCATATCCTAAATGCACAAGGAATTGTTGATATAGTGAAAATTTATGGTAATTTTTAAAATAAAGTGTATAATTAGGCCATGATATATTGATTGCTGTATTTACAGACCATGGATGAGCAAGCTATACTATACACTAAGCCCAGTGCTTTTAATTGATTTTGAGAGAGGTGCAAGGGAGAGAAATATGGATCCTCTACCTTTATTCTTTTCTGTTCACATAATTTCAACAACAACAAAGCAGTCAAAAAAAAATATATAGCTCCACCAGGTTCTATGATTCTTAGAAGCATCAGGCATACCTGCAAAAATATGGTAAGAAGAGTTTGTTGTTATGAACTAGCAAGAGGTTTTGAATTACCTATGGATTTCCCATCTTGTGATGGTTTTAATCCCGCTTGAACATGGAAAATTGAGGGCTAGCTAGAGAACAATGAATTTCCCAAACAGGTTTCATTAGTGTATGTCCTCCCGTCTAAGCAGAATGATGGGCAGGGACAGGTGGGGCCAGAAGATAGTTTGGCTCACTCTGCGCTATTAGTGCATAGATGATTTGCATGTTGGAAAACCGTGGCGCCCAGCATGTCTGACTGGTAACCTCTTCCTTTGTCTGCAGGAGAGAACTACACTTGGTGAAAGGAGAAGCGTTTCTTATCCTGGCACAGGACATGGCGTGTTGATCCTTGTGTGTCACAGAGAGACGACCTTAACTCCAGTTCTAGAGCATGGGTTCTTTACTCTGCGTTTCAGTCTCACTTACCAGAACTGATGGACTCTCATGATAAACCTGTCCTCACTTTGCATTTAGGTTGCTTGGGACATTTTCCAGGCTTTCATCCTCTCTTTCCCTGTGCCAATTTCTCTGCCCTCTTCAGCTTAATTTTTTCTCTCTTGTGTTAGATCTGTTTCTCAGCTATGACCCGTCCTTCCCAAACTGCTTCAAAAAGTCCTTCTGTTTACAGGTACACAAGACGGGCTTCCACTGAAGCAGTAAGACATCAAGTTTCCCTTTGTTTCTAACATTTCTGCTGCAGGTGACCCCTGAGGAATTTATGAACTACTACGCAGGTGTAAGTGCATCCATTGACACAGATGTGTACTTCATAGTTATGATGAGAACTGCCTGGAAGCTCTAAATGCACGGTCCCAGGGACAAGGCCTTGGGGGACAGCTGCGTGACTCCACATGACTAAACCTCAGCTCAGAAACTGAGTTCATACTTTCACGTCCATCAGTGTTTCTTCTTATGTTAACACTGCATTTTCTGGGACTGAGAAAAGGAAACAAATAAAGACACTGAACAGACAATCGCAAATTTGTCTCCTCTGAAGCTATTTCCTTAGCTCTGAAATATAGATTAAATACAATGGCAACTATTAAAGTTCCTAGAAGTAGCGAGTATGGTGGATATGTGTAGCTGTCTAATCAACTTGAACCTTCTTCTTTGGCCATTAACAAAAGTTAGAATATTTTAATTATAATTCCTCATCATGCAGCTCCTACTTTTCTTTACCTCTTTGCTAGTGTGTTTCTAGACATTTTTAGATGAGAGAGTTCATCTATTTTCTTGACTGCAAATTTTAAAGTGCTCCTGATTTGGGGACCAGAACAATATTATGCATAAGCCTCAATTTCTGTAACTAAAATTTCAGCTGGAGTTTAAAGAAGCTTTGATTTAACAAACGGATTTTGGGGAAGGTCGTTTTATTTATTTATTTATTTTTTTTGGTTAGCTGATTTTTTATTTGAAAGGGGAAATGAGGTGAGGGGAGAGAGGGAGAGGGAAAGGAAGAAAGAGAGAGAGAGAGAAAGCGAGCGAGAGAGAGAGAGAGAATCTACCATCCAAATGCCTGCAACAGGGAGAACTTAACCAGACCTACCACACAAATGGCAGGGATCCAAATCCTTAAACTATCACCTGCTGTCTAGGATGCATAACAGCAGGAAGCTGGAATTTATATTATTTTTCATCTATGATCACACAAAAAACACACAGCCGGAACTCCAGCCCTGGCGCTCTGATAAAACACTCACCCCCATTAGAAGTCTGTCACAAGGGTTGATCCATGACTTCCAGGGGATTGCTGTTATTAAAATTTTGAATCTGGGCTGTTTTCTCAAACTTTCCTCTGTGGGTGGACAAACTGTATCAGAGGGGTCTCACCAGGCAAATGCTCTTCCCTAGAGTCAGCGAGTCACTGAAGCTCCCACTAGGATGGAAAATGGGTGTGGCAGAGATGAGTGTCCTAGGTATACTCCAATGTAGACTTTCCCTCTTCTAGACCCAGAACTCCCCCACCCCCTCCATTGAGCTCTGGCTTCCTGTTTTGGTTGTGTGGAAATGTCTTTGTGAAAGGCAGCCCAAAGTGCTGGAAGAGAGATGTGGAAGGCACAGCTCTTCCTCTTTGTACTCTGTGACTGTAGCTAGAGTTAAAACCACAGGGACTAAGCCCTGGTGGTGGGTGCTGGAGGTAATGACCACACACCTCGTGTTTAAGGGAAGCCCTTCTTTTTGCTACCTCTGGGTATATTCGTTTCATGTTCTGGGGGCCACAGGTTAGGTTAATGGTCTCCTTTAAGAACTTTAGAGGACCAATACACTTTTCATGTTTTACATCTACTTACTTTTTATGTCACAGTTACAGAGGTTGAGTTCAAAACTGCAACACCTGATGCTGTCAAATGCAAATTACAGCAGTCACTAAGGAGCACTAAGGCAGCTTAGCTAGCCTGCATCCTGGGGACAGATTGGAGAAGGGCCCCTGTTTCTTGAAGATGGGCGTGAGGAACTTTTCTGACGATAAACACATTCTTGAATCATGAGGAGCAACTTTATTTTCACACTTAGTTCTCCAAGTCTGACCTTCTGTTAGACTTACCACCTTGATTTCATAGAGATTATGGGTCTCGAGATTCTGGGAGTTACAAAGAAATCATCATCTCCTTGTGTTTTGCATCCTGTACCTTTCAGATTGTGTCTGAGAAGGGGTCCCTGTTTCCTGCGCATGGTGGGTTTCAAGCTTACTGCTGGATTCTGAATATGACTCATGCCCCTGCTTGACTGGGGCCATCGAGCAAGCAGGTGATTCTGAGTAGGCAATGGGTTGTAGATATCAGCTTTGTCACCCCGAGTGGCACCGAACTTCCTGCCTAACGGGGGCACAGGGCACAGCTATTTGATTTCAGATAACCTATGTGTCACAATAGAATTTTATGCAGGTACTTTCTGCTTGCTTAACATTTAAAATCTTATTCTGTTTTAAAAGTAAGCAGTTTTAAAAGTAAGCACTTGAACCAGAAGGAAAAAAAAAAAAGTCCATAATACCCTTTGGTAGCACCACTCATTGATTCTAGACCCTAGCTAGGAAATCAAATAAACGAATGTGCCAAAGAAATGAGGATGAAATCAGCAGCTTTTTATGAAGCAGGACACATATACGTGAATATTCTGAGAACCAGGCTTTGTCAGGACAAACCACCCATATCATACGAATCTGAGTGCCTAACTGTCCCAGGAAGAAGCCTATGCAAGAATGGCAAGGGGCTAATGGACCCGATTTTCTTAGCCACCTACGTTTTGGTAGAATCTTATCTGGCCCAGATGGCACTTGGGAGGCACCCTGGGTGAAGCTGGATACCCCTCATGTAGGTTGCAAATTGGCTTGACATACATGGTTTGAGGGAAAGAATACATTCCATCAAGAGCTGTTTCTTGGGCCCCATGATTCTTTCTAGGCTGTGGTGATAGAGCAGTGAACAAGAATAACTGCAAGCAAAGCCACTGACTTGGAGATCACACAGGCCATCCACAGCTGGTAAGAGATATGAGTAGAGAGAGGTGGGGAAGCATGAGCAGCAACATTGCGGTTCCCAAGTCTGCTCCAGCCTCTGAAGCCAGGGCAGCGGGAGCCTTTCACATAGCTCTGTGTTAGGGAACTGTGTGGTGAACTTCATGAACATAGAGTGCACGTGTAAAGACAAAACCAGCAACTCCCCTCCTATACTTGGAGATAGGTACTTATCCTGGTTCTTCAATTCTCTTGGCCTCCTTGAGCACGAGAATACAAAGCAGGTAATGACTCCACTCTCACTAAGCTACAAACACAATCGATTCTGTGGACACTCAATCAGCTGGAGAGATTAAGTAAGTCAAGTGTATTGTTGGGTAGTGTGTAGGTGGGCTGCCACTCCTGCTTCAAGAAATTCCGTGAACACCCCCTGTGTAGTATTCCTTTTCAGATTTATGCATGTCTGTTTGGAGCACAGAATGAAAAAAAAAATCCCACAACTTCTAGTTTCCCAAATTGCTCATGAAACTTGCTTTCCTAGAAATTATTACCTGCTATTTTAAATTAAAAACTTGTTGAATGAAGCAAGTTGAATGAAAGTTCAATCCTCCAGATGCTTAGGACTCAATGGAAAGACAAAGATGCCAAGGGTGTGGAGTTGGTCCTACAGGGTTGCTGGTTCTCATGTAATTGGTCTTGGTGAAAGCCCATGTTTCTCACATGGCTTAACCCTTCCAAATCATTTCTGTGAAAACCACATAACTTTGACAGAGGTAGGTGTTTTATTCTAATTAGTCCTGAGTTCATTCCTAAAGCTCTTTATTCAAAAAAAGATCGTGGGTGAAATCTGTTGAGACAAGCATACGCAAATGGTTAATGGGGTTCTGAGAAGAATGCTTTTGTCATCCCAGTTGGTGCGGTGACAAGTTGTGGTGAAACAGCCCTTCCTCTCTAAGAATACCATCTTCTTTAATTCTCACACCTGCTTGGCCAAAGTCAGGTGTTTTTTTTTTTTTCCCTCAGCAAAATATACTGGAAAAAAGTACTGCTCAAGAGTGAAAGGTGTTGTTGTCAGTAGGAGCAACTAACTAGTTGCTGGAGCATTGATGAGCACTTTGCAACTATCCAAAAAGAGTAATGCATCAGAGTGGGAAAATGGGAAAATGTAATGGTCTTTTTCTCTTATGTTAGATTTCTCACCCTTTTCTTCACCCTTTTCTTCATAATGGGATTTACTGATCTTCACATTTGACACTCAGCTATGGTATTGATTTGGGGATGTCTTGCTTTTCAGCTGGAAAGTTTTTAACTTAGCTGGTCTGCTGGAGGTATTCGGGCCACACAAGCTAGTGGCTATCAGTGGTCTGGGAGCTGTAGAAAAGAAAAGAGACCTGAAACTGGAGGAAAATGACAGGTGGTGCTGGGGCTGGCATCTGCAGTGAACCTCTCAGTGCCGCTGCATTGATAAGAATAAAATGCTCAGGAAGGTGAAAAGTTATCAGATGTTGGGCCTTATCTTACTAAACCCAGAACATTCCTTCAGTTTTCAAGGAAAATGGAAAAAAAGTAGCATTTCACAAATTTGACAATCATGCTTAAAAATCAAATTTAGTAACATGGTTCAAAATCCATTTACTTAAATTATTGTTGAAGCTACTAAGTATGTATAATAAAATCCTACGAATCTGAGTTCCAGTAGCTAAGGTGATTTTGAAAAGATATGACTCGAAATTTACTTACACTTCATCTCTATTTTAGAAAGAGGGGCAGTTGCTAAGTGAGTCAGTAACATAATGAAGATTGTAAAGGCTGTGCCTACCTAGCTCCATTTATGTTTTGTGAGTACTAGGAGATGCCTATTTGCATATAAGATGCAGTTAGTGTACTAGTCATAGGAAGTATCTTCGAGTCTTTTAATAATACTTCTTTGTACAATTGTAGCTCAAGCTAGTAAGGTGTTCCCATATATAAATTTTAACTTGATTTAATGACATTCACGATAGAAACTTTAATATATTTTATCTAAAAAGCTATGCATAAACCTTTTGGTACACTGGATATACACTGGAGGTAATAATCTATCTTAGTGGAAATAGTTGGACTATCATTTTTAGGAATTAGAAATTGATACTTTTTGAGCACAAAAGTTATATTTAACTTAATTTTGATATAATATAGATATTGTTCAATTAAAATTAATCAAGTTTATAATTTTTATCACATCAAACTTTTAACACTAATGTAGTTCTGATTTAATAGAATTTCTCCAATTTATGATTTAAAGATTAACAATTATTTTAATAAAACAATACATTTAGCCTTAGTATTTTTGTCTGAAAATGTTTCAACAAATATGCTTCTTACAGCTGACAACTATCTCTAAAACTTAATTTTCTTGATGGTGCTTTTTGATCAATTAGAAGTGTCATTTGTATGTGATTCTGCTATGGGCGATGAAATCTCTTCGTTGACAACGCAAGTCCCTTGTTGTTATATTGTATTCTCTCATGTTCTAAAAAG